ATCAGAAATGCGCGGGCTACAATCCTGCCTCATTAACAAAGGTTTTGTTTATTTTTCAGGAGTTTTGAAAAACTGGTTTTCCAGAAATCCGATATCTGAAGATCTATCGGCCAAAATGATTGTTATACTCGGAATCAGCATAGTCAATAACCTATAACCCACTAGATTTTAGTCCGAAAGCGATTTGCAACCTGGGGAGGTTCCCTCGTAAGACACAGTATGCATCCTGGTGAACATTAAGCGAGAAAGCGAAAATGCACTTTTCCAAGTTCCAAATATCGGAAAATATACACCAATACATGGGCTATTTAAGAGCATAAAATTTTTTGTTCTATGTGCTAAGAAATCTGAAAAAACTCATAGTCAAAAATCAGCCTTAAAACACATGGGTGAGAGATAAAAACTTTATATTATGACATGAGATAAACTTCAGCAAGAAAAACAACATAGATTCTCAATCTAAGTTTCCTCAGCTATCAATTAGTGAAATAATTTTTTCTTTTGGGCCTAAACGTGCGGAAAAATACAAATGGTTTACAAACTAACGAAGTTTTCGAAAATATGTTTGTGCAGTAAGTTTCCGAACTTTCCTAAAGCTTTAATCTCGCTCAAACTTTTCATAAATATTCTTCTATCCATTGCTTTTAGCGCTAAATAATGTCTTCCTTCTGATCGGCGCTGTACGTTTTTCAGAAACTCATTCTTCAAGTAAAATTTAGTTTTTCTTAGTCCAGGAACACTTCGAAGAAAAATAAGGTCATATGTGGAATTAGCGCATGAATCTGCGCCGAATCATGTGTAAAACAATCAGTTTTGGATCGAACAATTATCCATAAAAATTTTTCCTCATAAACCTACAAGACCGATTTGTCGAAAAAAGTGATTTTTTCTGAATCATAGAATGGCACGTTTCTATTCCGTAGAAATTCAAAATGTATAAGTATGAAGTTAAATTTCATACAAATTCGTTTCTGAATAGTATGTATACGGTAATGATTTGCTAGTTAAATGTGAACTATACCTTACCCAATACTGTTGTTTGGGATCAGGAAATTCAATTGAATTCCCTGCCATTACCTAAGGGTGCAAATTACAACTACTACATCGAAGTTCCTCTATCAATGTTTGTTCCATCAATCGAATATTATCGAAAACATTAGGCATCTACTGCGATGCTAAAAATTCCGATGTCTGCTTTCTATTAGAAAAATACCCACTGTATGAGTATAAAATTAACGTTGCTGATAAAATGAAGCGATTGTCCTTTATTTATCAGATACTAGATTCCATAAAATAGCGTTTCATTATTTTATCTTCGATTTATAGCACGAAAAAGTTGAGTAGAATAAAACCAATCAATTTTGGATTATTAAAAGTTAAACAAATGCCAGGCAGATAATACTAGATTTAAAACTCTGAGACTATCTGTATGTAGTACTCAGCTGATGAACTGCGATGAAAATTATAAAATTTTATCACATTTAACCGGTAAATACGTCTATATCTATAGTTTTTATTCTATCTCGCAGCTATAGCTATCGCTATAGCTCGAGACCAGGTTAAGCATTTAGTAAAACCAATTTTTAAAAATGCAGTTCAACTTTATCATCGCCCGCTTTTCTATCGCTCGTCCGATCAATGTGATTCCTTCGGGCTTTATGTGTGTTATGTTATGTAGATGTGCCCTTTCTGCATACGAAACTTTATCCGTGCTATGGTTCGGAAAATATATGGGAAACTGCTTTTTTTCCAGCATACTTACCAGCCTATTTATAATCTTACGAAGGAAGGTCTCTCAGTGTCCAATCACTTTTTGCCTGAAACATACATGGTTATAGGTCATTTTCGACACTGATCACGAATATGATCTTCATTTGGGCCCGTATGGTCTTTTGGCGTGGATCTCTGGAAAACCGGTCTCTTTTTAACAAGTATCGATGAGGGATAACTATTGTACTTTCTCTCTTCTCCTCTTTAGTAATTTTCTTGCTTTTTGAAAAATTTTGTTCTTATTCTTTTTGGATAGCAACTGTTCTTTAAATTTCTTCTAAACTCCTTAAGTCGTTTTTATTAAATTTTCTATTATTGCTAGTATTAATTCTATTGAGCATGGTCATAACGATGGTCTGTTTCATCGCATAACTATGGTCCGATTTAAAATCTAATAGCCCTGTACTTGCCGTTTCTTTTCTATACCAACTAATATCTATTTCCTCACTGTTTTCATTTATACAGATAAAAACGTCTACAAAAGGTGTTTTACGCTCTTTCTCATATTCAAATGTGAATTGTAAATCATTCTTACTATTCAGCTCCTTCACAAATTGTTCAGTTTGAGCCTTATCTAATTCCGAAACTAGCAAAATATCGTCCACATATCGTGCTAACTCGATATAAGGATACTTTTCCGCGAGAAATAGTGAAATAGATGACCCCATCGGGAGTCCATAAATTTGTTTATAAAATTGATTACCAAACTGAAAGATAACATTCTCAATGCTAAACTCAATTAACCTTAATAAACTTTCTATGTCTCACACATTATACTTGTCGTTATTGGCGTTATATAAAGAATATAAAATGAATTTAGTTAAATATATTACTGTGTATGAACAAAACTTTTTCCTGAAGCATTGCAAGTTATCGGGTTTTATTCCAAAAGGATTTATCATTAAATCGTCGCATTTTGGAGTGCCTAACGCGAAATGCATATGTGATAAAGCAAGTTTTCAATTGATTAAGTTATAAGAGGAAATTATGCAGAATTACATAAATTAAAATGCAAAACAAAATAAATGAGATGGATCATGACAAAACAAAATTACCGTTTTGGTGTACCAACATCGAGGTATCATTACATCATGTTAGAAAAGAGATGAAAAATAAACTGGGCAATAAGTGGTATCGGCTCAGAGCTGATCACCTGCATAATTTTCCACCCCTGCGCCGTACCGTGCATGGACAAAATAAAATTTACCCGCGTTGCAGTTTGCAGGTTAGCAAAAAATATTTTGTTCTGCATCAGAGAGAGGCTGAGGGTGTAAACTTCTGTACTGCCCTGCCCTGCAGGTGGATCCTAAGGCGAGGTATAACAATTTTTTTCCTACCGACCACTATCAGTCTGTAGCACACACCGATAATTATAGACTTTATCACCGCTTATTCAGGTGGGAATGAATTATTATCCTGCCTATAAAAGACAAACGCCATAAAAAGATGAACCAAATGTGCGTCGTCTTTATCTTCATCGTTCTCGTCTCGTGGTCATTCATTCCAAACGGAATGAATGTTCTTTTTTTCTAAAGACTGAACTGAATCCACAAAACACCGCCATGCCCATGAAGGGATTGTCTGATGCAATGAAAAAGCCTTTTCTGCAGAGTCAGATTCCACATACATCCCGCTTTGTTTCTCTAATCAAGAAGAAATTGTACAACGATCGGTTAGGCTACCTTTCGCATAGGCTACCTAATGTCACATTTGTATTCCTGTATGCGAATAAAAAAGATGTGCTGTGCGCAAGGCTCTATTACATACAATAAGAGCGAAATTCATTGTTTTTCATTATTTAATTCTATATTTTTCGTTAAGAGATCGTTGTGACCTTCAGTGTGGTCAGTATCTCTCTTTTTGTTCTCCACACAAAAACGTCTTTCCCTGCAGTGAATGCAGCTGAAATCTTCTCCCCTGCAGGCAGTGCAGGAAGGAAAATATTTTTCTTTATCTGCTGGCTGTCAGTGGAAAATTTTTTCATTCATCTGCAAACTGCAACCTGCCTGCACCGTCTGCAGCTTGAGGTAGTTTAAGATGCAGGTGATCAGCCCTGTATCGGCTTAAGAAACGGACAGAACAAATAAATTACCGTAATAACAATGCCTTAAATAAAAAGGAAGAAAATAAGGTAGAAGAAGAAGAGAATAAGGACTCGTACACGATTGTGGATCTCTCAGGCAGAAAGATAGATGAAAATGAATGCTCATTATTGAGAAAAGGATTGAACTTCATACCGACTCAACATTTGAATGAAACTAAATTTGTATCGAAGCTTATAGCCGGAGTTGAAGCCGATATTTATCGAAAAAGCTTAGGGGACAGAGAAGATATTGTTAGTGAAGTGAAAAGAGTGCTGGAGCAACAACTTGAAGCGGATAAAAAGAAGGGCTTTGAAAACTTATCTAGAATGCAACGGCAAGCAATCAGAAAATTAAAAGAGGATGAAGATATTACCGTGATCCCGGCAGATAAAGGAGGCAAAGTAGTCGTAATGAACGTGACTGACTATATCAAGAAAATACGAGAAAAACTAGATACAAAAGCGTATAAACAGTTAGAAGAAGATCCGTCTAAATATATACATAAAAAGCTAGAAGTGCTATTATCAGAATTGGTGGGTAAAAACGAGATTGATGAGGATGAAATGAAGATGTTACTATAGAATAAGTATTTCTAGAGAATAAGAAAATACCATTTGTGCGAGGACAGTTAAAAGTTCACAAAGCAGATAAATCAATGCGATTAATTGTATCGATGAGAGACAATGGGATCAGCACTGGCTAAATACATCACAAATATAACAAAGTCAGTAGCCGATAATAGTAGATCGATTAAATATACCCAAGATCTAGTTACAAAGTTGTATAAACTAAAGGTTAAGAAAACAAGCAAACTAGCCAGTTTAGATATAACTGATTTATTCACTTCAGTAGATCGTGAGAAAGTGATCGTGATTTTAAATGAATTGTTGGATCATGACGAATCGTGGAAAAGCAAAACTAGTCTAACAAAAGAAACTTTATTAAGGTTAATTGAGTTTAGCATTGAGAATGTTATCTTTCAGTTTGGTAGTCAATTTTATAATTTGAAAATCGTTTACTATCCAATATTTGTGTTTGTTTTGTATATTTTAAATATTGTACTTGAACAACATCAATAGTTACATATTCTACTA